CTATATATGTGGAAGATATTGGAGATGGATGTGCTTATACCTGGTTACATCGTTCTACAGTTTCATGATTTTGTTATCTTACAATGTGTCTCTCATCGTCAGTGTCAAAAATCGTATTTTAGTCTTGGCCTTTCCAAGTTCTTTATCTATGGAAATTGGAGAACTGATAAATTTTCAGCATCCCTGCCTCTTGTTTAGCTTGTTTCTCAATTAAGTTGAAAAGTGATAAATGCAATGTACAGCTGTTTCAAGTTAATTCCTCATAGACGATTATGGACTTATAGAGATGTTTCATATTAGGCGTACAAATTGACACCTTGTTCTTCTTACTCTTCTCTCATAACTGAACAAGAATGGAAATCTTTGGAAATGAACCTAGTCCTAAAATTTTTTCTTTCCCTTGGACATCAACTTTATTTGTTAGGCAGAAAGCTTGTTTTCCCCCCTGATGGAACACTGCAACTGTAATTAACGAAGCGAGTTCTAATTATCGAGGAAGATTTCCTTTTTCTTTTCTTTTCTTTTCCTTCTTTTTCTTCCTTTTCCTTCTTTTTCTTCCTTTTTAAAAAAAAAAAAAAAAGAAGCTATGTGTTGTCTCTAGTTTAATTTCTTCCGCCCGCCCCCCCCCCCCCCCCACACACACACAAGAGTAATTGCTTATAATTAAATCATCACACATATGCAGGGAAATTTATCAGGGCAGAGACAAGGACAACCTGTATTTCTCACCAGATTGGAAGTATGTTCTACTACCGTATACATATACATATATATATATATATTCTTTTTCTTCTTAGGAGGTTTGTTTCAGGGTTTTTCCTTTTTAGTTTGGGTCTTCCCTTGTGCATTTACTAGGATTCTGCTCTTTTCGTATTCCAAACCTGTTGTTTCTGTGTAGAATAACAAGTTTTTGTTGTAAATGTGATACCCCCTATGATGTTTTTGTACTTATCATTTATGTGCTTCTTCAGTCAATCTTTCTCATTATAACCATGCTGCATCCCCCTATATTTTATCACAATACAAACTAATGGTTGCTATCCTTTTTGTCAGGGCTACAGGAACGCTACGGCTTCTGAGGCGTAAGTCCATCAAATTTTTTTCAATTTATTTTATTTTATTTTATTTTTTTAAGAAAAGGAAAGAAATGGAGTCTAGGAAATTTTTTCACCGTTCAAAGAAAATTTTGAATGTTCAATTAAATTTTAGTTTAAAGTAAGAACCCATGAAACTGATATTCCAAACTGTTGAAGTATTTGTACGAGTCCTACAAAATATTACACTTTCAGTTGCCACTGCTTATTTATTATATATGGTCTATAAACTTGAGTTTTATCAACTTTCAAATACCCATGTTTACATTTTCCCAAAATTTGTAATTTTTTTAATTTTTATTTGCTTGTGGTTTTTACACTCGATTCTTATTTTATTTAACAGCCTGTCTTTTCCACATATTTCAGACTTGCAGCAAATTGGCCAGCGACGATGCAAATTGTTAGGCTTATATCTCAAGACTGCACGAATAACAAGTAATTGCTCCCGCAAAATTTTATATCTCGTCTATTTTTATAGATTTTTTTCCTTGAAATGATATAATCTGACCTTTGTTAATTTAATTGCATTGACCTCAGGGAATATGTTGGAAAAGCAGATTTTCTAGTTTTTCGGGCTATGAATCAGCATGGGTTTCTTGGTCAGTTGCAGGAAAAAAAGCTTGTAAGTCTATATATATTTTTTTTTTAATTGATATGTAGCAACCTATTAATTTCACATAGCTTTTCAAAATAACAGTTTCCTCTACCTTGTTAGAATTTAGAAGTTCAAGACTTGAGTAGAGTAGTAAGCGTGGCAATGGTAAATGAGTGGCAAGCTCATTGTAACTGTAGTATAAGGGAAATTGTAGTAAATAGTAGATTTTTAAAACTAAATTAAGTAGCATATTTTAAAACTATTTGAAATAAATAGCAAGTTAAGTGATAAATGAATCATTTACACACGGTAAATGATTCATTTATGACTCGTAAAAAATAACGTACGTGGTAAAAAAATCTTTATTTACATGGAAAAAATCTTTTTATCAATTAAAGAAATTTTACGTGAAAAAAATGTTTTTACTAGCTGTAAATGAACCATTTACACATTTACGTTGTAAATGATTCATTTACCACATAAACTGCTATTTATTTCAAATAGTTTTGAAATATGCTATTTACTTAATTTAGTTTCATAAATATGCTATTTACTAGATTCTCCCTATTTTTTTCTCCTTGAGAAAAACCTATTTCAGCTTGTAAACCAAAAGAGGATAGGTCAAGTGTGAAATGGGTCTTGAGGCTTTAGTCCCTTACATAGAGTGTGGGAGAGAGAAATGTCAATGTGTTTGCGATTTGAGACTTTCACCCTTTGTCACTTTCAAGTTTTGAAATACGTGGATTTTACAATAAATATTTTTGAAATGCGGAAATACCATTCAGCGCGTCTAGATCGGCAATAAGAGTCCGCTATTTCCTTTCCGAGCATGGGTTCGACCCTTAGCAGCTGTAAAATTTCTCTTCCTGTTTTTTTTAAACAAGTGTAATGGTGGTCAGTTCGGCTCACTGGTTTACTTTGGTTTGTGAGTTTTTCAATTTTCTACTGTCGGTTTGTTGGTCAGTGTTGGTTTTTCAGTTTTTTTGAATAGCACTATCTTCTACAACAAATTTTTGTACTGTGTTGTATCTTCTGAGAATAGATAGAGCCCCTGTGATGTCAAATTATCAGGAGGCTTTTCCCTCTCTTTGTTTTCCCAACTACAAGTCGAGTGTATCTCACTTTCTTTTCATTTTGATCTTAGTCTTGTTTGCATTCCAAGTATATTACCATAACATTATGCATTGGAGTACAGAATAGTATAGCACATCAAGGCCCCGTTCATTTTACCGATTCGAGTTTTACTACAGTAAAAAACTCTCAGAAACAGTCACATCTAACTTTTTTGCTACAGTAAAATGCTCTCACATAAAGTCACATCTCAACTCGAATTAAAAACTCGAATCAGCGAACTAAATAGGCCCCAAATATGTCACTTTTACAGTTTTTAGTAGCGAATATAGCATTGATATTTGCGTTTGCATTGGAGATGGTCAAGCGGTTGGACCATTGTAACCCAGAGTTTTGTTTTTTTACTGCTAAGTAATGTACTATCCTTGTAAAAGAGTATTTGGTTAAGTTCATTTATATGTTTGCTAGTTAGATTATGCTATGTAAGAATGGGAATTAGTCTTGGACAGTGTTGGATACTAATGAAGATTCGATTGCATATTGTTTTAGATTTTTTTTTTGCTAGTTATTTATATGAAATCGCTGACTAATTGTATCATATGATTTTTCTGATAATGGATTTGTCATTTTTCCTTTCTTCAGTGTGCAGTCATCCAACTACCGTCCCAGACGTTGTTGCTTTCTGTTTCTAACAAAGCTTGCCGCTTGACTGGAATGCTTTTCCCTGGGGTGAGATTCCTGTGAACTGAAAATCCCTCAAAAACATGGGCCCATTTGTTTATGTTTCCAAAATCAATTTTCGTATTTCTAGCTGTAGATGTTTTGAAAACCGTTCTAAAATAGCATTTATGTGGTATGTTTTTTCGGGAATGCCTCGTTTAGTTAGGAAAGTCTTTTTTTAAAAAAAGAAAAAGCCCAAAGTTGTTTTTCCTTTTCCATTCTATTTTTCTAGGACGTAGCAGCATTAATTAGTTACTAATCAAGTAATCATTAAATATATTAATAATTAACAAATATTTATTAAATAAATAAATAATTAGATAATTGTTTATTTTTCATGTGATTATTGAAATTTCTTTCCTATAAAAAAAAAAAGATAATTAGAGGTTAAATATTTAGTTAAATTTTTTTTTTATATAATAAAAACTCTGATAAAAATCAATAACAAAGGCAGAGGACAAGGTATCCTCAAGCCGAAAAGAAACAACATGGCCAGGTTTGAAAAGCTGACCAAAACTAAAAGAGCAAGATAAACACAGAAACCAATCTCTCAAATCAATTCCCTATTATATATTTCCAATTCAAAATAACCAAAGAACATGGGAACCCTTTAAATGCTTTATCTGAAGCAGTCCATAGCGATGCAGAGAATTTAGCCTTCTCAAAAGTGTCAGTTGTCTCCATCTCCTTTTCCTAAAAAATTCTACTATTCCTTCCATCCACGGAGACCATAGTAATGAAAGCACTGTACTATTCCATAGGACTCTGGCCTTGTTAGAACCCAAATCCACAACTCTCTCAACCATCTAAGAACTACACTTTGCTGGAGTTGCCCAACTAAATCCCACCTCCACACTTAGCTTTTTCCAAAGTGACCTGGCAATCCTACAATGTAGTAGTAGGTGATCAATAGTTTCTTCATTTTCCCTGCAAAGAACAAACCAAGATGGGGAGAGCACCAAATGAGGGTTTCTCCGCTGTATCCTATCGCAGGTATTAAGTGGACGTTTGGTTCATGGATTCAGAACCATGATTCAAAACCATTCCCAGTTTACGTGTGTTTTTTTATGAGAGAAAACACTGTAGCGAGCCACGAACTATGATCTGAATCATGGCACGAATCCTTGCTCCAAACGCAGCATAAATTTCCCATGAAAGACCAACCAAGCAAAGACTTTAATTCTATGGGACACAAGACTTCCAAATGAATTTTAAAGGTTCAAAATTCGGGATATCATCTTTGTCCACTAAGGAACTCAAATGGGATTGACACGAAGAACCTAAGGGATCACACAACCAAACTCTAGGATTAGGTGAAGCTGAACCTAAGGGATCACACAACCAAACTCTACGATTAGGTGAAGCTGAACAATTTGAAACGAAATTAAGAACTTGAAGTAGAGAATGCAAATCCTCCACCTCTCTATCATTGAGGCCTCTCCTAAAACTAGGGTTCCAATTTGACTCATCATTACTAGACAATGATATAATATCAGAAATTAAAGCATTTGGAAACTCTGAAAATATAAAGAGCCGCGGAAATAAACACTCCAAAGGTTCATTGTCACACCATTTATCTTTCCAAAAAAAGATTATGTTGCCATTTCCCATACTCAATTTGACATTTTGAAGAAGAGAATTCAGCCCCTGAGAGATAAATTTCCAAGGATTTCTAAAGGATCCTCTAGTCACAATGTTCGAATCCCAGCCATTAGGTTGCAACCCATACTTCGTGTGACTCTAGCCCATGATGAATTTTGTTCCAAAGGAATCCTACACAACTTCCATTTTGCTTACTACTCGTAACGATGTCCCAAGCTACCAAGCTCTTCAATTTACCACCCTCCTGGTTGTCCCAAAGAAAAGACTGCATAACCCTCTCCAACAGTTAAACTACCGACCCAGGCATCTTGAAAAGGGACATATAATATATTGGCATACTTGCAAGAACGGATTGAATTAAAGTTTGCCTTGACTATTGAATTAAGTAACCGTAGCTATTAATTAATAAACTAAATGATTTACTAATATACAATTATTTACTAAATACTAATTAATTGTTATTATAATAATTATTGTTAGTGCTACTAATTAGTTATTACTTACTAATAATTGATTAAGATACTTACAATTTTTAGCATATTACTAATATATTAATTACTAATATCCTAATTATTGTTACTAATTAATTACTTAATGTATCAATTAAATAACCAAACACAGTGTTTAGAAACCTAACCAAACACAGTTTCACCTTTTCTTATACTCAAAAACAATCTCTTAGACAAACAACCGAACTTAATTTAGAAATTACTTAGCACTATTCCCAAAAAATTTCTTATTTCCTTTCTCAGACCCAAAATAAAACCATTTCAAAAGCACTTCCAAACGGTCGATAAATTCCAAGTCTAAATGAATTCCAATTCTTTTACATCCACTATAAAACTTTTCAAGATTTCTTCAATATCAAAAGTGGCCAGCAAAATTACAGTAACATTTTATTTCATAGCTATCTGGGATAAATTCCAAGTCTAAACGAATTCCAATTCTTTTACATCCACTCTAAAACTTTTCAAGGTTTCTTCAATATCAAAAGTGGCCAGCAAAATTACAGTAACATTTTATTTCATAGCTATCTGGGATAAATTCCAAGTCTAAACGAATTCCAATTCTTTTACATCCACTATAAAACTTTTCAAGATTTCTTCAATATCAAAAGTGGCCAGCAAAATTACAGTAACATTTTATTTCATAGCTATCTGGTTGGTAACAAGTTAAATTGTTTTCAACATGTACATGTTGCTTTTGATTTTGAAGGTGTTAGCCCAAAATGACTACCCAAAAATGGGTGAATTGGATTTTAAAAACATTTTAAAAGTTTTATAATTATTAGAAAACCCCGGGTATAGCCGGTCCCAAACCCGGGTAAAGGAGGAGGGTTACGGTAGGTTGACGGCTAGCGTAAAAATAAGTCACTCTTATGGATTTCACTCACATAGAATCTGTTGGGGCGTTCCTTATGTGCGACGCGCTATGCCGGGCCCCGGGTATAGTGTTAAATAGGCAAGGGAGGTCTTCACACATTCATGGACGTGTGCGGGGGAAAAGCGAGCCCATGCGCCATGTCGGGCCCCGGATATGGTGAAAAATATGCAAGGGGGGTCCTTGCACATTCATGGACATGTGCAAGGGGCAGAGCTAGCTCATGATAGGAAAATTCGTTTAGGTAGTTGGAATGTAGGTTCTTTAACCGGTAGATCTATGGAGTTAGTAGATGTTATGGTAAGAAGAAGAATTAACATTTTATGCTTACAGGAAACGAAGTGGACAGGAGAGAAAGCAAAGGAGATTGAAAATTTAGGACACACGTTATGGTATATAGGTTGGGAAAGGAATCGCAATGGAGTTGGTATTCTAGTGGACAAAATTTTGAAGGATTATGTAGTTGAGATTAAGCGAATAGGGGATAGAATTATTATGCTCAAATTGGTACTAGGAAATAAGTTCATCTATGTAATTAGTGCTTACGCTCCACAAATAGGATTGGAGGCGGAAAGTCAAGTTCTGTGAAGATATGGATGACTTAGTGTGTCGTATAGGCAATGAGGATAGCATTTTCATTGGAGGAGATTTCAATGGCCATGTTGGTAAGGATAGGGAAAACTTCGAAAGGATCCACGATGGTTTTGGTTTTGGAGCTCGAAACGAATAAGGAAAATCTATTTTGGAATTTGCGTTGGGACATGATTTTATCATACAAACACATTTTTCAAGAAAAGAGATTCCCACTTGATCACTTTTAAGAACGTTCTCTATGTAAGAATTGTAAAGTAATTCCTGGAGAAGTACTAGCTACCAAACATAGGTTAGTGATCTTAGATGTGAGCATTAAGCTTTGCTATAGAAGGACTAAGATAAACCACTTCCCACGAAGGGAATAAAGTAATTGGCCTTTAAAGAGAAGTTGTTAGATGAGGCTACTTGGTCATATATAGGTGATGTATATACTATGTGGGATGCCATGGCCAGCTGCATTAGAAAAGTGGCAATGGAGGTTGAGTGAGGAAGTTCAAAAGGTTATTAGGACCAAGAGGAATTTATATAGAGATTTACCAAAGCGTACGGATGTTGAAACTTTTAATAAGTACAAAGAAGTGAAGAAAGAAGTTAAGCGAGCAGTTGATAAGACTTGTTCTACTTACTTAGATGAGGTATATAGTAAACATGGGACTAGAGAAGGAGAGAAGGATATATATAAACTAGCTAGGATAAGAGAAAGGAAGTGTCGGGACTTAAATCAAGTGAGATGTGTTAAGGATGATACGGATCAGGTTCTGACAAAAGATAAAGACACTAGGGAAAGGTAGAAGAGTTACTTTGAGAAGCTTTATAATGATGATCATGCTATAGAGTTTGACAATCTTAGGTCACAAGGAGAACCTAATGTAATGTATATAAGAAGAATCAGAGTCTCGGAAGTTAAAACTGCACTACGGAAGATGAAAAAGGAGAAGGCATGTGGGCCAGATGATATTCTAATAGAGGTTTGGATGGCGTTAGGAGATGCTGGAATTGTGTGGCTCACTAAGTTTTTTAATGAGATACTAAAGAAGAAGCATATGCCTGATGCTTGGAGGAAAAGTATTCTTGTCTCCATCTTCAAGAATAAAGGAGATGTGCTGAATTGTAACAATTATAGGGGCATAAAGTTAATAAGCCACATTATGAAACTTTGGGAGAGAGTTATCAAAAGGAGATTAAGGGCCACAACTACTATCTCTGGTAACAATTTGGCTTCATGCCAGGCAGATCAACCACGGAAGCCATTTTTCTTCTTAGGATGCTGATGGAAAGGTACAGAGAAGCAAAGACAGACCTACATATGGTCTTTATAGATTTAGAAAAGGCATATGATAGGGTGCCGATAGAAGTTTTATGGTGAGTGCTAGAAAAGAGAGGAGTGCATGTGAGGTATATCAAGGTAATTAAGGACATGTACGATGGGGTGGTCACGAGTGTGATAATTGCTGGAGCCTTCATCAAGGATCTGCTCTTAGTCCTTATCTTTTCACCATCGTGATTGATGAGCTGATAAGAGAAATTCAAAATAGAATTCCTTGGTGTATGTTTTTTGCGGACGATATAGTTTTAGTTGATGAACATAGGGAAGGAGTTAACCCTAAGTTAAAACTATCGAGACATACTCTCGAGACGAAAGGATTTAAGTTAAGTAGGACGAAAACTGAATACATGCATTGTAAGTTTAGTAACTCAAGTAATCAGAGTGATACAATTTCTTTAGATGGTGTGGAGATTGGGGCTTCTAAGAAGTTTAAGTACCTTGGGTCATAGTGCAGTACGAATGAGATATAGAAGAGGATATTCAACATAGGATTAAGATAATGTGGGTTAAGTGGAAGAATGCTATGGGAGTTTTATGTGATGGCAAGATGCCTATTTAGTTGAAAGGAAAGTTCTATAGGACTGTAATCCGTCCAGCTATGTTGTATGGTAGTGAATGTTGGGCCGTTAAGAGACAACATATATCTAAGATGAGTGTGGCAGAAATGCGTATGTTAAGATGGATGAGTGGCCATACGAGAATGGATCGCATAAGGAATGAAGTTATTCGTAGTAAAGTAGGTGTAGCACTAATAGAAGATAAGGTGCGCAAAGGCCGCTTGAGGAAGTACGGACATGTCAAATGTAGACCGCTAGAAGCATCAGTTCGTGCTTGGGAGGACATTTTTACACCTAATACTAGGAGAGAGATGAGTAGACCAAGAATTACGTGGACCGAAGTAGTTAGGAAAGACATTTTAGATCTAAGCCTTCAAGAAAGTTTAATTTCGAACAGAGCTGCCTAGAAAAGTGAAATTCATATAGCCGACCCCAATTAAATTAGGATTAAGGCTTGTTGTTGTTGTTGTTGAGAAAAGCTTATCACTAATATTCAATCTCAAGAATCAATATCATAATACACATTATGCAAAACTCAACAAAAAGGATTATCAACCAATTATGCATTGTAGAGCTATCTTCACAAATCAACTGAACATTTGCAATGAACAAAAGGAGTAAGGAGAGAAGAAATTTAAACGAGATTTATAGTGGTTTGGCGATAAGCCTACATCCACTGTCACCAAGCAATTTGAGCTTGACCAATTCGACTTTCTTGATCGTCGTTTTGGCACAATATCTCCAAGTACAAAGGGTGACTTCTCTACCCGAGGTTCACCGCACCTTCAACGACTGTCAAGTTTCAATTTGGATGTTAGCTATCCTTTCCACACCAAATTAACTTAGGGATTGGCAACCTTTACTCTTGATTTTTGTTTAGAAAGTTTGCTTCATTCAGGAATCTCTCCCAGTAATGTTTTGATACAAGTTTTCAAGCTAGGAGATATGTGAACACTCAATAAATGCTTGCCACAAGGTTAGCTCAAGAGTGTTTTTGTAATCAATGCTCTTTCTAAGCAGTAAATGCCATTTTGCTTTGAAAAAGTATGTGAATGTTTTTGACAAGTTGAGATCTTTTGCATTAGTTATTTGATAATTTTAGACCTCAAAAACACTAAGATACGGGGAAAAAAATATATCCAGTTTAAATTATACCGATCCGGACCCTCTCATGGGTTGACCAGAAATGCTTAAAACCCTGGAACAAGTCGACTGAAAATGTGCAGTGAAGAATTATCTCTCTACTGCTGATCCACTGCAAAAATTTGTCTTGTTTTTCATTTCCTATCAACTTGATCTTGATACAAAGAAAATTTATTCTCAATATCTTGATTGAGTACACGTTTATGTCTCAAAAAATACTTCTCTCTACTTTAAATAATCGCTATGAATAGATTTTTTTTGCAATTTTGTAAAATGTGAATCTTTAAAGTGTGCGTGTTGAGTCAAAACCATTGAAACAAGAATTGAATGCAACAACAACATAGTAGACTAGTCCTGTGAATCTTCAAACTTCAAGCTCTTTATCCATCTTCAATCTTTTTCTTTCAAATCTTGAGTTGATCATAATTGTTAATTTTGCTTATAAAAATTCAAGATTAATTCTTTGTAATTTCACAATCAATTGTTTGTTATCATCAAAATTATCATTAATTAAACGCCAGGAAAAAGTTCCTTAAATATTACACATTTAATGCTCTAGTATTTCTGTCAGATTCTACCAGTATCCTAAGGGATCTTTGTGTAACCAGGACATGCTCGTTTTTAAGCCACAAATATCTCAGTGGCAGCAACAACAGCAACAGATGCAGCAACAGCAACAAATGCAACAACAACAACATCCTCAGCTACAACAACATCCCCAGTTGCAGCAATGGCGATAGAATCTACTGGGGTCACAAGCAATAGAGAGATTGAGTGGGTTTATCTCTATTCCTTCGAGTGGGCTAATTACCTGCGTGAACTTTGCCCCTCCGTTTATACTTCTAGCCTTTTGTGACTTTTTCAATATGACGTCTCATTCAGCGAAAAAAAAAAGAAAAAAACAATGTGGCTCTAAATAAGAAATAAAAATTAAATGCGGGATCCCACACGGCCTCACCCAACTTCTTCCCGTGCCATTAATAATGCTGGTCATTCTCTTTCACACATATATATAAGGTCTCAAATGTTAGGTCGTCGGTCACTAATAATAATACTATGCTGGTCATCTTCTCAACATTTTTATTGAATTTTTCTTCTTCGAATATTACGATGAATTATCCTTGCACCAATTTTAGCATTGAAGTACTTGCCTAGTGAATTTTTCATCTTGTCATGTCAGTCAGCAAGTGCCGGACCAAACGTATTTTTCATCTTGTTAACTTGGTGAATTTAAAGGAAGAATGCATGGCCAGTCTTCTCTCGGCTAAAAAATGCATATATATTTGTGTGTGTGTGTGTGTGTGTGTATATATATATATTGTTGACGGTGTTTTTTTGATAACTCGTGATTATCTCTCCAAATACACTCCCAGTAATACTCATGGTTTAATTAAGGATTAAAGTTGAAAAATAATGCAAAGGAGACAGTGATTTTATAGTGGTTCGGTAAGAACTCTTTGCCTAATTCACTTGTGGATGCACTAATATCTGGGATTACAAGCTCTCTAGGAGTAATGAAATAGTGTGTAACCCTTTTTTGGGTTTTCTTGGCTATATTTATAGGCCTTTACATGTGATTATCCCTTCTCCGTTCCCAAGGAGTAAGCTATCTTCCGTCCCTCGATTTACGGGTGGGTAGGGGAGTTTTCATGATGATAACCTCAGGAAATGCGGTTGATCCCTCTCATCTGCTGCCTGATTTCCTGACTTTTACAGTAGCAGTTAGATCAGTACTTTCTTTCCCGAGTTGACAAGACCGTTGATGGATTTGACTGGCAGCGCTGCCTCGACGCAATGGCCTTCAAAAGTCGAGTCATTGCGCTCGACGCCTCTCGCCACGTATGATCTCTCGACGTAAAGGGCACCTTAGCTACAGCTGTTCTCTCGACGCCAACGACCGATTCTCTACGAGGAGTCCTCGGCGCCTGTCGTCTGAGAGAGTGGTCGATGTCTCGACCATGGTGTAACAATTACCCTCTAGACTGGGACGTTGCGGTGCGACTTTCCTGGCTATACAGCGTCGAGGATGCCACGTGGGAAAAACTCTTCTGTGGGTAATGTCGGCCGTTTGTCGGTACAGTGATCATTGCGGTTGGTTTCTCGGGAAGTGGAGCAGTCACGTCGATCGTGTCAACAGTTGCGTCCCCACTTTCTTGGTGCCACGTGGCACTTGGAGGATGAACTGCAGCCGTTCGATTAAATCCCTCTCCATTGCTCTCTCCCCAACCGTTAGATCACGCATTCTCAAATCCACCGTTGGATGGAGCCGAATCGGATTCTACGGTCGAGATTTGGAGTCCTTTGGACTCCTCGGGGATCCCTAAGCTTCTCCTCGGGCGTATATATAAACCCTTTGCGAGGGTATTGTGGTTGCTCATTTCCTTGAATGTCGTTACGCTGTCGGATTTCTACCAGACGTCTTTGCTTTTGTCCCTTTGCTTCCGTGTACTCTCCCTGTGTGCTTCTCATCTTCGTCCCTAGATTCAAGTCCTCTGAGTAACCAGTGAGTTCTCGTTCCCTTTCGTTTTTGTCATTATCCTGGTTCCAATGTCTGCAAAACAATGAATCTATAATAAAGGGGGAATGTTCTTACCTGCTATTGCTGGTTGTATGCTTGGGGCTGAGGCTATGCAGGGCTGTCCCCCTGGGCTCAGTTGCTTTGGCCTGAGGCCCTCGAACTTGGTTCTGGGCCCCCCCAGGCCTACGGCACCGGGTTCGCTCTGTTTTCACTTCCATGACCGCAGAGCTCGAGCACCCAGCCCTTGGCTCTGGGGTCTCTGGCTGGGGCATGTTCTTCGTGCCCCCTTGCACTGCACTTTGACCTCTCGACCATTAAGACCTAACTCCGCCTTTTTTGTTTTCCAGAACATGTCACCAAAACAAGATAGAGGTCGAGAGGTCTCCACGTCAAAGGTAAGGGGCGACCATGTCGAGATGGCGGCGACGAGCTCGTCCTCAGACGAAAGCGAGGATTCCCTGCTCCGCCAAGTGGAAGACTACCCCGACGCGTCGACCTCACCTTCACAGTCGGATGAGCTAACACTCCTCGACGATGAGGACGCTGACCTGCAGGTTGGCCCTTCCGAAGGCCGCGGCTATGGGGTTGCGTCGACCAGTGGCCTCACGGGGATGGCCACGGATGTCAATTCGTCGAAGATCAGGTCCCAGGCGGCGCTGAGGGCCTTCAATGATGTAGGGATCGACCCCCTGCACTTTTACTTAATCATCCCGACCCCCAATGACCGGGCCCACAACCCCTCAGCCAACCACATGACCGTATTTACGCGCTCTTTGAGCTTTGGGCAAACTCTGCCCTTTCATCCTTTCGTGAAGGCCCTTTGCAGCCTTCATAGGATTTCTCCGGCACAATTGTCTCCCAACTACTGGGTGACCATTAACTCCATGATAATTTTGTAGAGAAAACACTTGAACCTCGACCTGACCGTCGAGGAATTTTTGTACTGTTACGCCCTCAAGGCCTCTTCGAGGCAAATAAGGTTCTTCTACTTGGCCACTCATGCCAAGGCCAAGCCTCCCGTGCCCCCTGTGGTGGTCGAGAAGACCTCCAGCTCGCACGGGTGGAAACCCCAATTTTTCTTCATCGGGGGCCATTTCAATTCCCACCCTCTAGACAGCGAGCGTCAAACGGGGACGCAGACAGTATTCAGTAAATACTGTAGGTTATCCATTTCTGCTATTCTGATAGCATTTGCTCTGCCTGCCGAGCCTTTCTCACATTGTTGCTTCTTTACTGTAGGTGACGTCGTCCCTCAACCTCGACTCTCTTCTTCCGCTCACGGACACATTGAGGAGATACTTGCTCTTCCCGACTCCCAACGACGCGCCTCGGTTCTTAATACCGCCAAGAACCGGTCACTGTACGGCTTGTCCGTACTCCTCGACACTTCGCGCTCGCCAGTTGCTCCTCCTGCTAATCCTCTAGCTGGTGAGTTGGGTTTTTCTTCCCTTCGTCTTTTAAGCAAAAGCCAGGGAAAATGGACGAGTAGTCCTCGATTTGACACCCTCCCCCCTTTTTTCTTTGTGCAGCCGCGCCGTCCGAAATGAGGTACACCATCCCAGGCAAGTCGAAGAAGAAGAGGGGGCGAGATCCCCCCACTATGCTGCTGAGCCAGCCGCCCGTCCAAGTCTCTCCATCCCCCAACGTCACTGAAACTCCAGTTCGGGGGGTGTTTGTGATCGAGCCCACTGTCAAGAGGGCAAGGGTCGAGGTATCCCAGGATCCTGCTGTCGTCGAGGGGTCCTCATCTCAGCTTCCCCGACACTCAGACAAAGGGAAAAGTGTCGCGGCGGCCACACTGGGGGATCCCTTGGTGATGCCGGGGTCAAAGATTAATGACCCTGAGTTCGCTGTCGCGAATGTGGTCCCTCGGCATCTCCACACTGCTTTGCAGCTTCCTGCCCGCTTCAACCTTCCACTCCACACCATATATACATACTTCAACCCGGATTCCTGGGGCCTCTATGCCGGGAAGGGCATCCTGGAACGTCAGCGCCTGACCGTGACGCGCCTGGTCTCGGTAAGCTCGGCTTATCTTCCATCGAGTACCCGGTTTTAATGCCTTAGAGCTTATTTTCTTCCTTTGGTGTTTCAGGCCCTTAAGATTGCACTCTAGAACTACGTGGAGTTAGAGTCTCTGCTTGAAAAGGACTCGGCGTCGAAGACTTTAGAGGAGGAGGTTAAGGCTTTGCCCACTGCCCGAGACGAGCTCTCCTTCAGCCTGGACACTGAAAAGGCCAAAGTCCAGTCCCTTGAAGAGGCTATGGAGAAGGAGAAGGAGGTGAGCTTCCAGGCGGGGTGCTCCTCGGTAGTTCGGGAATACCTTGCATCACCCGTCTTTGAGAAAAAGAAGAGGGAGGTGCTCAAGGAGTTTCTGAGGTCCGAGGCGTATAACCGCTCCATCAACGCCCGTCTAGAGGCCTTCAAGTCATCCTCGGAGTTCAAGACTTTGGTCGACGCCCATGTGGAGCAATTCAAGGCTTCAGGGGCTTTCGAGGGTCTCGTTACTCACCGACTTGAGGCTTACAAGGCCTCCGCTGAATTTGACGACCTCCAATTGTCCTTGATGACATCCGCTGGCGACCAGATCCTTGACCGCTTCCGAAGGAAGCACCCAGATGTGGACCTGTCCTTCCTCGACGAGTCTGACAGCGAGGAGGTGGAGGTGGTCAATCTCGACCAGGAGGCTGGGAGCGTCGATCAAATACAGGCGGATGTTGAGCGAGTGCCTGGGGACGTCGAGCAGGCATCGGGAGACGGTGGCGAGCCGGCGCTGGGAGGTGGTGGCGAGCAGGCATCGGGGAGTGAGGCTAGCAGTGAAGGGACCACCTACTTTCTCGTGTTTGTTGTATTTTTTTTTTGAAAGGCCGTGAGGCCAAGACTACATTCATTTGGTGGTTTGTAACGACCATAAGGTCGAGACAAGTATTTTTATTTCTTTTTATATATTCATGCTTATTTTGCTCATTCAGTGTGTGGATGCTGTGGATATTACGCATGTGGATAATTTTTTGCTAAGTATGGTTGAGCTCTGGCTCGGCCACCTTTGCAAGTTTTTTTTTGGTGGAGGGCCTCATTGTTGGCCTTATTTACCCCCTCGCCAAAGCTAAGTCTTAGGCTTGGCTTTGGCGTATCATGATCAATGCTTCGACGTAGACGGTAGATTATTGAGTATGTAGAAAATTTTTGTTTATTTCTTAAGTACGGTCGGGCCAGAGCCCCACCGCCTTTGTAAGTTTTAGGGGGCCTTATTGTCCCCCCGTCAAAAACAAAGTCTTGGATTTGTTCTTGGCGCACCGTGGTCGACGTATCGACATTTTTTAGTCGACGTATCGACTTTTTAATTTGGTCGACGTATCGACAATTTTTAGTCGATGTATCGTCAGCTTTTTGCGGTCGATATATCGACATAAGTAGTAGATGGTTGGACCTGCGTAACAAAATCGGTCGTAAAGTAGGATAGAGTTGATTAAGTGGACAGTGCACATTGCCTTTTATTTATGTAGAATTTACAAGTTGACTTTTCAGCCTGCAAGAAGAGAAAAATGAAACAGGACAAGTAAAAAACACTAAGTTTACCCTGTTAGGTCGACGTTTCTCGTAATTATTGGTAGTAGACCTTCAACTGGTTCGCGTTCCAAGTGTGCTTGATGTCCCGACCGTCGAGCTCTGCCAGCCGATACGACCCATTAGCCACGACCTCCTTTATCCTGTAAGGCCCTTCCCAGGTTGGGCCCAAGGCTCCGGAGTTTTTGGGTTTGGTGTTTGGGATTACTACCCGTAGAACCAGGTGTCCGACCCCAAAGCGCTTTTGCTTGACCTTTTTGTTGTAATACCTGGCAGTTCTTGCCTGGTAGGCGGCGAGCCTTAGGTGCGCATCTGTGCGCCTTTCTTCCAGGAGGTCAAGCTCCAAGGCTATCAGCTCGGCGTTCCTATCCTTTTCGTACCGAGTTACTCGGTTGGTCGGAATGGATACCTCGACCGGAAGGACTGCCTCGACCCCGTATGCCATCGAGAATGGGGTTTCCCCCGTAGTAGTCCTACTCGTTGTTCTGTAGGCCCACAGCACTTTCGGCAGCTCGTCTGCCCACTTCCCTTTATAGGTGTCGAGCCTTCTCTTAAGTGTTACCTTAATGATCTTGTTGACCGCCTCGACCTGCCCGTTAGACTGTGGGTATACAATAGAGGAGAAATTCTTATGGATTCCCAATAGTTCACAAAATTGGTTGGTGTTGTCGTTGTTGAACTGTCTCCCGTTATCCGACACTAGAGAATGCGGTACACCAAACCTGCAAACTATATTGTTCCATATGAAGTTCGTACATTTTTCCTCTGAGATAGTCGTCAATGGCTCGGCTTCCACCCACTTGGTAAAGTAGTCGACGGCCACAATAGCGAACTTATACCCCCCGGGGGTTTTGTGCAGGGGGCCAATAAGGTCAATCCCCCATTTAGCGAAAGGCCAGGGAGACACTATCGATGTAAGGTCCTCTGAGTGCAGTTGAGGGGTGAGGGCGTACCTTTGGCAGCTTTCACACCTCTTTGCATGCTCGGCTGCATCTTTCTTGAGATTTGGCCAATTGTATCCCTGCCGTAGTATTTTGTAGGCCAGGGACTGTCCCCCCGCGTGGTTCCCGCATACCCCATCGTGCACCTCCGAGAGCACTCTCTTTGCCTCTTCTCCGCCGAGGCACCTGAGTAGGGGCGTCGAGTACCCCCTTCGATAAAGAAGATTGTCATGCATTGTGTATCTCGCCGCTTGATACTTCATCTTTTTTGCCTGCTACCTGTCCTCGGGGAGTTCGCCGTCAACCAAGTACCTGATGATCGGGTCCGTCCAGCTTGGCTGGTAGTCCACTGGCACGACCTCAGGCCTTTTCTCCGTGGTCGGGGCTTTTAAGACTTCCACGGGTACTAAGTTCAAGAGCTTGGCATCTTTCGACGTCGCTAACCTGGCGAGAGTGTCAGCATTGCTATTCTCTGCTCTCGGCACTTGTTGTATATCATAGGCCATGAACTTCCCCAGTGCCTCTTTGACCTTCTTTAGATACGCGGCCATTTTCTCATCCCGGGTTTGGTACTGACCCTTTACTTGATTCACAATCAGCTGTGAATCACTGAAGATGTCTAAGCTCCCTACATTTAAGTGCTCCGTCAACCGGAGTCCGGCCAGCAGCGCCTCGTATTCGGCTTCGCTATTGGACGCGAGGAATTCAAACCTGATGGCCGAAGTGATCTTATGTCCCTCAGGTGTGTGTAATACCAATCATGCTCCACTGTCGTTGTCATTGGAGCTCCCGTCGACGTAGAGCTTCCATCAGGGTGGTGCATTAGCCTCATTGGCTCCATCCGGCAACCCCGCGAACTCTGCCACAAAGTCTGCCAAGGCTTGGCCCTTGATGGCAGTCCGCGGTTTGTAGTCAATATCAAATTGGCTGAGCTCTATGGACCATTTCAAGAGTCTACCGGAAGCGTCGGGCTTTTGTAGCACTTGTCTGAGTGGGTGGTTGGTCAAAACCTGAATGCTATGGGCCTGGAAGTAGTGGTGCAACTTCTTCGCTGTCACAACTAGTGCGAGGGCGAGCTTTTCCATCTGGGGATACATCGTCTCCGCGTCGAGGAGGCGCTTGCTAGTGTAATACACCGGCAATTGCACCTTCTTCTCTTCGCGGATCACCACCGAGCTAACGGCATGTTCCGAGACCGCCAGATACAGGCTCAACACCTCTCCGGTCACTGGTTTGGACAGCAGAGGCGGTTTCCCAAGGTGTTCCTTCAATTGTTGGAACGCCTGTTCGCACTCCTCCGTCCATTGGAATGGCTTGCTTTCCCTCAGGGTATCAAAGAATGACACGCACTTATCCGTAGATTTCGAGATAAACCTGTTAAGTGCAGTCACACAGCCTGTCAGCTTCTGGACCTCTTTGGGCTTCCTTGGCGATCTTGTATCTTTTCCAGATTGGCCTCAATTCCTTGATTGCTCACCATGAAACTCAAGAATTTCCCTGATGCGACGCCGAACGCACACTTACGGGGGTTTAGCTTCATTTTGTACGTTCTGAGGACGCTGAACATTCTCCTGAAGTCCTCCACATGGTCCTCGGTCTTCCTGCTCTTTACCAACATATCGTCCACGTATACCTCCATTGATTTTCCTATTTGTCCCGCGAACATCTTATTGACGAGGCGCTGGTAAGTCGCTCCTGCGTTTTTAAGACCGAATGACATTACTTTGTAATAGTAGAGACCTCTGTCAGTGACAAACGCCGTGTGTTCTTCGTCGCGGTCGAGCATTGGTATCTGGTTGTACCCAGAGTATGCGTCCATGAAGCTCAGTAATTCGTGTCCCGTCGTAGCGTCGACCAGCTGATCGATTCTGGGTAGTGGGAAGCTGTCCTTGTGACAGGCTTTGTTCAGGTCGTTGAAGTCGACGCATGTTCGCCACTCCCCGTTGGGTTTCTGCACCAGCACAGGATTTGACACCGATTCGGGGTATAAGATTTCTCGGATGAAGTTATTTCTAATCAGTTTGTTGACCTCTTCTCGTAAGGCCTCGTATCGCTCAGCATTCATAGGTCGACGCTTCTGCCTCTTAGGTGGACACTTATCGTCGATATTCAACCTATGACACATGATATCAGGGCTTATCCCTTCCATATCTTTGTGAGTCTAGGCGAACAAGTCGAGGCTGCCTCTGAGAAACTCGACCAGTCTTTCGCGGGCCTGCGCCCCCAGCTCCGAGCCCACCTTTAGTGTTCTCGTCGGCTCTCTTTCATCGATGGGGACCTCGATCAATTCTTCGACCGGTCCCGTTTCGATCTCTTCGCCTGGGAGCCTTGGATCTAAATCAAATCATTCCGCCCTAGTCTCCACCATCCTCAGTTCTCTCCGTACCTATGTCGGCTCGGCGTAGTGGTGGACCGTCTCTGAGTACGTAAGTCTCGAATCATACTGGTTTCCTCAGGCTCTTCCGTTCCTCAGGCTCATCCGATCCCGTTGGGAGTCGGGAACTTCATCATCTGGTGGTAGATGGATGTGACCCCCCTCAGGGCCCTCAACGTCAGGCGCCCTATGACCGCATTGTATTGGTCGCCTCCCTTCACCACCAGAAACTTTGACATGACAGTCGAGGTGTGTGGTCGGTCTCCAATGGTCATGGGCAGCTCTATCGCCCCTTTTGGGATGGCACTGTCCCTTGTGAAGCCGTACAAAGGCTATGCGTTGTTTTGCAGCCTTGCGCGGGAGATCCCCATCTTGTCGAGGCAGTTGGAGTACAAGATGTCCACTGAGTTGCCATTGTCGACCAGGATGTGGCAAAACGTGTGGTTACCGATCATGGCCTCGACGACTAAAGCGTCACTCTGGGGGAAATGTACCCCACTCGCGTCGGCCTCCGAGAAAGTGATCTCGGCCTCCTCGTATCGCGCTGCCTTGGCCTCGCGTCCGGAGACGTTCATGATCCTCCGGCTGAACTTTTCCTTTGCCTCTCGCGCGTACTCCTTCTGCGCGCGGCGAGAGGTGCCGCTGAGGTATGGTCCCCCAAAGATCATTCTTATAACACCGACGGGTTCGGGCGGATTGTCGTGACTCTGCTCTTCCCGTCGGTTGTTGTTGTTCTGACGGTCGGCTCGGTACTCGCTGAGCCTCCCTTCTCGGATCAATCTCTCGACCTCGTCCCTCAGGTCATAGCACTCGGCCGTAGTGTGCCCACTCTCACCGTGAAACCGACAGTACTTGTTTTGGTTTCTCCGTGTTGGGTCGGACTTCAGCGGCGGTGGTCGACGCAGGACCTGGAGGTGACTGATCTTGTGATAGACGTCTTCGATCCCCATAGTCAAGGGGGTATAGGCGTCGTACCTTTGCGGCTTCGGTCGCTTGTTGTCCCTTTGGCTCGTTGAGCCGTTGCCACCCCTGTTGCTTGGAGCCGAATTGTACCTCTGCTCGGCTTGCACCTGAGGGTGACCTCGGCGCTTCTAACCGTTGTTTTGGTTGCTCGCCTGCCCTACCTCTTCCATGGCAGAGGTTACTGCCTTGCTTTTCAAGGCCTTTTTTGCCTCCTCAGCGTTGATGAATCCTTGTGCCCTCGCTAGGAATTCCTGGTAGGTATGGGGTGGTCTCCGGTCGAGGTCTGTGCTGTAGGGGATATCCTTTTTCATGCTCGACAGCGCCCCCATCAAGGCCAGCTCGTCGGAGATTCCCTTGGTGGCGGCAACCTGTTCCCCAAACCGGGCTATCTAGTCTTTCAGGGACTCATTAGGCCCCTGGTACACCCTTGAGAGGTTTTGTTTAGGTGGGATGTATTTTTTGACACTTATGTACTGAGTTAAGAAGGCGTTCTTCAAATCATCCCAACTGGTAATGGAGTTCAGTTTCAAGGATTTGAACCATCTCCTGGCGGAATCAGAAAGGTGATTCCTGAATGCCCGACACATGACCTCCTCAGGGTATCCATGCAGGACCATATGTCCTGTGTACACCTCCAAGTGGTCGTCCGGATCACTCCTCCCGTCATATAGTGGAATGGGGAGTGATTTATACTTATTTGGTAGCGGCACCCGGATAATATTTTCTGTGAACTGGTGGTCGTGGGATGTGTACATTTTAGCGTCGACGTTGACCGCCTCGGCTACCTTTCCCACAACTTGCTCGAAGTTATTTAATTGACTCCCAATCTGCTTTTCAAGCCTGGCCATCTTCTCGGCCAGGACCTTGTTCTCTGCTACGAGCTCTTCCTCTCTCGCCAGCTGCACGGCTTTCCCACGTCGAGCGTCGAGCCTTGTCCTAAGGTCTCCGTCGCGCACTGCCGAGGATTCCACGGGGACAACGTTCCCCCTATTTGCGTCCTGTTGCGGTCGAGGGGGCGCACCCCTGTTATTCACAGCTTGCGCCGCAGCCTTCTCCCGCGCTCTCCTCCTTGCCGCCCGTTATCTGCTCCCCACAGATCTGTTCGACTTGGTCGGGCGAGGATTGTTGGCTCTACTATCACCGACCTCCTCGGCGTCACCGCGTTGGTCACCAATCTCTTGGTTCCCCACTGCGGCGTTCAACGGGTTCATCGGCGCGTCCTCTAACGGTGGCATTGAGTTCTGCCTTTGGTCCCGCCCAACAAGGGCCGTAGCCATCCTCTCTACGGCTTTGGCGAGCGTTTCGACCTGCTTTTGAAGCTGGTCAATATGGTCTGGGGATTCACAGCGGCCGGTTGGAGTGGGGGATTCACAGCGTTCGGTGGGAGTGGATTCGTTGAAGTCCCTGCGGCGTTGGGATTTTGGCTAGCCTGGCTCCTCTGGTTGGCCGTCATCATGCGAGCATTCCTGGGAGGCATAGTCGCTGTTTCTTTTTTGTTAAAAACTTGATTAGATTTTTGGGTTTTGGGCCCTCCTTCTAGCGCCAATTGTTGACGGTGTTTTTTCGACAACTCGTGATTATCTCTCCAAAGACACTCCCAGTAACACTCACGGTTTAATTAAGGATTAAAGCTGAAAAATAATGCAAAGGAGACAGTGATTTTATAGTGGTTCGGCAAGAACTCTTTACCTAATCCACTTGTGGATACACTAATATCTGGGATTATAAGCTCTCTAGGAGTAATGAAATAGTGCGTAACCCTTTTATGGGTTTTCTTGGCTCTATTTATAGGACTTTACATGTGATTATCCCTTTTCCGTTCCCAAGGAGGAAGCCATCTTCCGTCCCTCAATTTATGTGCGGGTAGGGGAGTTTTCATGATGACAACCTCAGGAAATGCGGCTGATCCCTCTCATCTGCCGCCTGATTTCCCGACTCCTGCAGTAGCAGTTGGATCAGTACTTCCTTCCCCGAGTTGACAAGACCGTTGATGGATTTGACTGGCAGCGCTGCCTCGACGCAATGGCCTTTAGAAGTCGAGTCATTGCGCTCGACGCCTCTCGCCACATATGATCTCTCGACGTAAAGGGTACCTTAGCTACAGCTGTTCCCTTGACGCCAGCGACCGATTCTCAACGGGGAGTCCTCGGCGCCTGTTGTCCGAGAGAGTGGTCGATGTCTCGACCATGGTGTAACATATATATATATATATATATATATATATGAATATTCTCAGTAGATAATAATAGAGCTAGGACGAATCTATTTATACAGGTGTGTGTATAGATATGTGTATACACATAATATAAGGAATTCCTTTTACTAGCAAAAAAATAGACTGTAATTCTTTTGTTTACAAGGCAAATAAACCTAGCCAACCAAGTAACATTTCTAATCCAGAATTGTTTTATTTAGTCAAATAATGAATTGCTCAGAAGATTCGAACTTTCCACGCCCAACAACAAAATACGATATTTAGCAATAAGCAGAGAGAAAGAAAAGAAGCGAGACGACGAATTAATACATACAATTGTTGTGTGTTTGGAGGGCCTTGAATCTTCACCCCTTCGACTCTAATCGCTGTTTTTGATTTCTGATTTTCTCTACTAAACGTTTGTTCTCAGTCCTGCTTTTTAAGTTTTTATTATCATACATACCACTAGGAACTTTCCATGTATATATGAAGTATGTGTAACCGTTGTTATAGATTTATAATATAATATAATAAATTAAAGGACCGTTTAGTTCGCTGATTTCAAGTTTTAATTTGAGTTGAGATGTGACTTTATGTGAGACCTTTTTATTGTAACAAACAAGTTAGATGTGACTGTTTCTGAGAGCTTTTTACTATAGCAAAATTCGAATTCTAAGCATTCTTTTTATTGATTCAAATTGAGACATTGAGTTAAAAAGTGATTTTATGTGACAAAAAACACTCTAATAAAAAAGTCTGAATTTGAATTTCTGTGAGATAAAATAATGTAACAAAATGTTTTAAGTGGTGATTCGAGTTGCGAAAAGAATTACTCCTAAAGTCCTTAGGAAGAAATAGAATAGCAACTAGCAATGCAATAGCAAAGAAAGAGACGATGTGCAATGCAATAGCAAAGAAAGAGATGTCATTTTCTTTTTTATCATTGAATCGTGTGAATGGTTGCGATAGTGTGACCGTCCAAAGAAAAAAGAAAAGAAGAAAAATAGAGAGATATCTTATTCTTCCATTGTTCTGTTTATAGACCCTAATCCATACTGGAAATATCCTCTTACTGAACCATTTATCTAAAACACTTGTGTTCTTCTCCACCATCTGATTTGACCCACTCTTCCCATCTTCAAGTTTTTCTGCTTTTTTACTTAGCCTCTTTTACTCAGATCTTTCTGTAACACACTGAAGAATTAATTGAGATTAATTAAGGTAATTGAGATTATTAGTGTGCCTAATCTGGATTATTAATTGCGTATTAATTAATAAATATTTTTGACACGTGTGAGTTTAAATAGTTTCAAGGTATTTAAATTATTCTCAGTAATTTATTTTAATCCAGAAGTGTGTATGGGCGCATTTCTGGACTGCTCTTTTAAAATATTAACACTTGTCCATTTTCTTTTTCTTTTTCTTTTTCTTTTTCTTTTCTTCATTTCCCTTTCTCTTTCCTTTCCCGTGCACCTCTCTCTCCCTCTCTCTCTCACTCTCTCGTGCTCTCTCACACACACACACACACTCTCTCTCTTCATCTCTCTCATTTTTGTCCCAAATCAAACGGATCTTGAACCAAGAAAGGATTTAAAGGAGTTTTCAACGTCAAGGGAAGGATTCGAGGTAAGATTACTGAAAGAACCTTTCTTGAATCTCAAGTTTTTGAATTTCAAAACTTATTTTTGGTTCAAACCGGATTTTGATGGTTTTTGAGTAAAACTAGAGTAGAAATTAGAGATCTTGGGTTATTTTGACTTGTTTTAGGACCTAGAACCCAGATCTAGTGGTTTCCCTTTGAAATATTTCGATTTGGGACTGGATTTGCAGGTTTTTAGATTGATTTTCCCGAGCTTCTCTCGCGCAGCTGATTCCACCGGTCGACCAATCCGGTCGACCGGATCACATGGAAACTGGTCGACCTATGCGGTCGACCGGATTGCAGGCTGACCGGTCGACCGGTAATGTCGCACTGTTCTGTCACCGGTCGACCGGTTGACACGGGTTTGACCTTGTTTGGCCTGAAAATGCTGTTTTGACCCCTATTTTTGGGGAGAACCCAAATTAACTTCATTTGGGGACTTGAGATAGATGGATTAGCATTGTTAATCCTTGTTTTGAGATCGAAAACCCTTGCAATGATAATTTGAAACATGAAAATGGATTAGGGCACACTAAGGAAATCTTGGTTGGAAATTGAGATTTGGATTGCTTAAGGAATGAGAATTAATCCTAAAGTGTTGTCTTGCATCAGTGATCGCTGAGGATTCAGACTGAAGGGGCTTGAGGAAGCGGAAGCCGGAAAGGGCAACGCTAGTCCCAGGTTTGATAGTGCGATGTAGGATTTCTATCCCTTTTCCTTGTGAGCCTGTTTTCAAAAAGGATTTTGGCCTTGAAAATGTTTTAAAGAAAGGGATTGGTTTGTGAAAGAAAATGTTTTGAAAACTATGGCTTGTTTAGTCATGGAACCTCATGGCTTGTCCAGTCATGGGGCCCGCGGCTTGAGTAGTTCGTGGGGTCGTATTAACGATTTTAAAATGTTAATGAATGATTTCTTAATAAAGAGATCTTGTGAACTGGTAATATAGTTTATTGCTGTAAGCCTAGATAGGATACGGAGAGTGCATCCTCGGAGGCAGAACCTGATACTTGGTCTGGGTAGATGAGGCATTTGGTTAGGTAAGTAATTTGTACCAATTACTTGCTGAAGCCTATAATACGGTTATTTTCAGTTATATTTTCTTTGAGAAAAAGGATGTGAGGTTCCGGCTGTTCTGTCGGGACTGAATGTCTTATTTTATTTACTTATTCATTTATGTATTTCCTCACACACTTATTATTCATTTATTTATAACGTTTATTTCAAATCATATCCTACTGGGCCTTTCCCTCACGTTTTATATTTCAAATATATTAAACCCCTCCCAGGAGATTCTAGAAGCGGTGTACAGTAGCTGGATATTTGCTACAGAGCGGCTGAGTTATGCTGCTGTTGGAATCAAGTGAGGAGTGTGGTCATCCTCTGGAATACAATGTAAGGAATTGAGAATTCTGTAAACTTATGTAATATTTGGATTAACTAGACTGTGGTCGATGTCTGTTGTAATGATTATTTACATGAGCATGTATGTACGATACTGTATGTCCTGTGGGGTGGAGCCCTGTGTGTCAGAGGCTCCAAGATTCTGTAGCAATTTATTTATATTTTAATGCAGTTGAGTGGGGATCGTCTGGGAATCCGCTTTATTAATTCCTAATCGAGCTCCACGTCACCCACCCTGCTTGGGGGGGGGGGGCGTGACAAGAGTGGTATCAGAGCCCTAGGTTAAGAAACCCCAGGATTGTGCATACATGTGTGACATCTGTTATCCACTGAACAGTCTAGTTTTATTTCAGTTAAAGGAAATGGCGCCTCACCGTAGGCCCGCTAATCAACCGACACAATAGAATTAGGGATTCCTGGATGCCATGTATGCTGCCTTTCAAGGCATGGCCACAAGAGCTCAAAATGAGCGGCCGGTTGAGGATAGGAAGCAAGGTTACTTCCAGAAATTTAGGCGTGTGCCTATCCCCTCGTTTAATAGTGAGGGAGGACCCCAAGAAGCAGAGTTCTGGTTAGACTTCATAGTCAAGCATTTGAGTATTATGGGAGTTCCAGATGAATACTGGGTGGAATTTGCAGTATACAAGATGGAAGGCTTAGCGAATACTTGGTGGAAACAGGTCAAGAGAAGAATAGATGTTGCAGGACTGACCTGGGAGCAATTTGAGACACTGTTCAATGAATAATATTTCCCTCAGAGTTATAGGGATGAAAAAACGCTGGAATTCATGTCTCTACTGCAAGGTGACATGTCTGTAAGGGAGTATGAGGTCAAGTTTAATGACCTATCCCGGTTTGCGCCATCTTTGGTGGAATCTGAACACCTTAGATGTCTTAAGTTTGAGAAGGGTCTCAAGAATTTTGTGAGGATGTCATTGGTGGCTCTAAGGATTCAGAATTTCCAGGATTTGGTAGCTGCTGCTACAAGGGTGGAACATGATAACTTGGCCTATCACCAAAGCAAAGAGGCAACTGGTCGGGTCTCTGTCTCTGGTAGACCTTCTGTTTCAGGTGGGCCACAACGGAGTGGTAGAAGAAACCGCAACCAGGGACAGATGGTTGGGAAAATAACAAGCGGTGGCAGTAGTTCGTCCGGAAGTGACAGAAATGCTCCATACGGGCCCAGGTGTCACCATTGTAGGCAGGTGGGTCATATTAGCAGGAATTGTCATAATCGACCGCCGGCTCAACAAGCCCAAAGTGACGCTTCCTACAGTCAAGAAGGCCACCACAATTTATGCCACCATATCAACCACAACAGATGCCATACCCTCCTGTGCTGACTTACCAACCACTTCCGTATACACAATTTCGGCCTCAAGCGCCGAGACCGGTGCAACCGCCTCCACCACAACAGTATAGGCCTCCGACCCAACGGCCTAATGTTGGTGACAGAGGGAAAGGGAAAGTACAGGGACAAGCTTATGCCCTGGCAGGAGGTAGTTTGGGAGCTCAGACCAGCAACGCGGTGGTTGAGGGTATGATTCTAATATCTCATTCTTTTGCTCACATGTTGTTTGACACAGGTGCCACACACTCGTTTATATCATGTTCTTTTGTTCGGGCTTTGAAACTGAAACCTGAGAATTTAGAAGTCCCGATGACTTTGAACTCTCCACTGGGATGTGTGGAGGTAATGAGTGTGTGTAGATTGTGTGAAATCACGATTGGGAGTGAGCGAATGAGAGCTGACTTGATTATCCTTCCGATGAGCCTGTTTGATGTGGTCCTCGGAATGGATTGGTTGTCAGAATACGGAGCAATTGTTGATTGTTACCGTAGGAGAGTGACTTTGATGACCAAGTCTGGAACGGTGATTTCTTATTGAGCGGATATGAACCCAGTCCTGGGGGAACGACTGTTGAAGTACAGCGCTGGGGGACGGAGGAACTTTGCATGTTTTTCTTCTCTTCTTTCTCTAGAAGGTGAACCCGAGATAACTAGGGATAGTGCGGGAATCCCTGTAGTGGATGAGTTTACAGATGTATTTCCTGATGAGCTACCTGGTTTACCGCCAAATCGGGAGATTGAATTCTGTATTGATTTGGTTCCGGGAACGGCACCTATTTCCATTCCTCCATACCGGATGGCTCCGGCGGAGATGAAAGAATTAAGAACGTAGCTTGAGGAGCTGGTAGAAAAGGGATATATCCAGAATAGTACTTCCCCTTGGGGCGCACCGGTGCTATTTGTGAAGAAGCACGACGGATCTCTTCGGTTGTGCATTGACTACCGTCAATTGAACAGGGTGACTGTGAAAAATAAATACCCACTACCAAGGATTGATGAATTATTCGATCAGTTGGGTGGATCACAGTTCTACTCTAAGATTGACTTGAGATCTGGGTACCATCAGCTGAAAATCAAGGAGGAAGACATTCCAAAAACTGCTTTCAGAACTCGATATGGACACTTCGAGTTTCTTGTAATGACTTTTGGGTTGACGAATGCCCCGGCTGCATTCATGGACTTGATGAACCGTGTTTTTCGGCCGTATTTGGATCGGTTTGTGATCGTCTTCATTGACGACATACTGGTTTACTCGAAGACTTGGGAAGAACATGAGCAGCACTTGAGAATTGTCCTTCAGACTCTTCAAGAACACCAGTTGTATGCTAAGAAGGAGAAGTGTGACTTCTGGCTGACAGAAGTGAAGTTCCTTGGGCATGTGATTTCTGGACAGAGAATTTTTGTAGATCCTTCCAAGATCGAGACTGTGCTACAATGACAAAGGCCGAAGAATGTAACGGAGATTCACAGTTTCCTTAGACTTGCAGGGTACTATCGGCGTTTCGTGAAAGACTTCTCGAGTATTGCTACACCGCTGACTCGATTGACCAAGAAAGAAGTCAAATTCCAGTGGGACGCTGAGTGTGAAAATACTTTTCAGGAATTGAAGGTCAGACTGACAAGTGCGCCAGTCTTGACTATTCCTGATAGTGAGGAACCATATGAGGTGTATTTTGACACCTCAGGGAGTGGGCTTGGCTGTGTCTTAATGCAAGGGGGGCGCGTGGTAGCGTACGCATCTCGCCAATTAAGACCACATGAACAGAATTACCCCACTCATGATTTGGAGTTGGCAGCGGTAATATTTGCTCTGAAGATATGGAGATGTTATCTCTATGGAGCAAAGTTTCAGGTCTTCTCTGACCATAAAATTCTGAAGTACTTGTTTACCCAGAAAGACTTGAATCTCAGGCAAAAGAGATGGGTGGAGTATATGGAAGATTATGACTTCACTTTGCAATATCATCCTGGAAAAGCTAATGTGGTGGCTGATGCCCTTAGTAGGAAGACGACGGGGACTTTGGTGTCATTAGCTTTGGAAGATTGGAAAAGGACTAAAGTGGTGAGTGAGTACGATCTTCAGCTCTACAAAGATTATAACCAGGCTATGGTGTATAATCTGGTCTCTACACCGGATAGTGTGCAGCAGGTTAAGCAGAATCAATGGTAGGATCCACACCTCCAAGGAATTTGGATTCGAATCCAGAATGGAGAGCAATTCGAGGATTGGAGAATCCGAGAGGATGGTGCCTTGTATTTTCGCAACCGCCTTGCTGTTCCTAAGGCGGGTGAGGTAAAGAAGACGATTCTGCAAGAGGCACACAAATCGAGGTATGCTATTCATCCGGGAAGTACAAAGATGTACCAGGACCTGAAAAGACAGTACTGGTGGATAGGCATGAAAAGAGACGTTCGTGAGTATGTCTCGGAATGTGCTACTTGCCTTCGGATTAAAGCTGAGCATCAGAAGCCGGCGGGAGAGTTGCAACCTTTTCCTATCCCTGGATGGAAATAGGAGCACATCACTATGGATTTTCTGATGGGGCTACCGAGAACCGAGCTGAAGCACGACGTCATCTGGGTGGTGGTGGGCAGGTTGACGAAGTCTGCGCACTTCATACCGTTCCGTGCGACGTATTCTCAGAAGATTCTGTCATAACTGTACCTGGAGCACATCGTGAGGCTACACAGAGTGCCGTTGTCTATCACGTCTGATCATGATACCCGCTTCAATGCAAGGTATTGGAGGAGTTTCCAGGAAGCCATGGGAACAGACTTGAATTTCAGCACAACATTCCATCCTCAGACTGATGGGCAATCTGAAAGGGTAATTCAGATTCTGGAGGATATGCTTCGTGCTTGTATTCTGGAATTTGGTGGACACTGGAAGAAATACATGCACATCGCTGAGTTCGCTTATAACAACAGCTATCAGACCAGTATTAGAATGGCACCGTTTGAAGCTCTGTATGGTCGTCCTTGTAAGTCACTTGTGTGTTGGTTGGAACCAGAGGATCGACTGAGCACTAGACCGGAAGTTATTCAAGAGAATAATGAGAAGATAGCTGTGATTTGGGAACGACTATTGACAGCTCAGAGTTATCAGAAAAGTTATGCTGACAGAAGACGTAGGCCTTTGGAATTCCAAGAAGGCAACTTTGTCTTGCTGAAGGTTTCCCCGCGCAAGGGAGTTGTTCGGTTTGGGGTGAGAGGGAAACTCGCACCAAGGTATGTGGGACGATACCCGATCGTGCAACAAGTCGGAGTGGTGGCTTATCGGTTGGCTTTACCGCCTGAATTATCTCACGTGCGTGGCGTGTTTCATGTCTCCATGCTTCGAAAATGTCAACCTGAGCCGGAAGCTGTAGTGCAGTGGTTTGACGTTCCGATACAGTATGACGCGTCATACGAAGAGGCGCCAGTTCAGATTCTTGACCGGAAAATAAAGAGTCTGCGTCATCGTGAGATTCCCGTAGTAAAAGTATTATGGTAGCACCATGGAATTGAAGAAGCGACATGGGAGCTTGAAACGACGATGCATGAGTAGTATCCTTATCTGTTCACACTTTGAGGTAGGCTTTAATTTCGGGGACGAAATTGCCTAAGGAGGGTGAAGCTGTAACACCCTGAAGAATTAATTAAGATTAATTAAGGTAATTGAGATTATTAGTGTGCCTAATCTAGATTATTAATTGAGTATTAATTAAAAAATGTTTCTGACACGTGTAAGTTTAAATAGTTCCAAGGTATTTAAATTATTCTCAGTAATTTATTTTAACCCAGAAGTGTGTATGGGCGCATTTCTAGACTGCTCTTTTAAAATATTGACACTTGTCCACTTTCTTTTTCTTTTTCTTTTCTTCCTTTCCTTTTCTCTTTCCTTTCCCGTGCACCTCTCTCTCCCTCTCTCTCTCACTCTCCCATGCTCTCTCTCTCACACACACACACACACACTCTCTCTCTCTCTCTCTCATTTTTGTCCCAAATCAAACGGATCTTGAACCAAGAAAGGATTTAAAGGAGTTTTCAATGTCAATGGAATGATTCGAGGTAAGATTACTGAAAGAACCTCTCTTGAATCTCAAGTTTTTGAATTTCAAAACTTACTTTTGGTTCAAACCGGATTTTGATGGTTTTTTAGTAGAACTATAGTAGAAATTGGAGATCTTGGGTTCTTTGGACTTGTTTTAGGACCTAGAACCCAGATCTAGTGGTTTTCCTTTGAAATATTTCGATTTGGGACTGTATTTACAGGTTTTTGGATTGATTTCTGCGAGCTTCTCTCGCGCAGCTGATTCCACCGGTCGACCGGATCACATGGAAACCGGTCGACCTATGCGGTCGACTGGATTGCAGGCTGACCGGTCGACCGGTGTGCACACTACCGGTCGACTAGTAGTGTTGCACTATTCTGTCACCGGTCGACCGGTTGACACGGGTTTGACCCTGTTTGGCCTGAAAATGTTGTTTTGACCCCTGTTTTTGGGGAGAACTCAAATTAGCTTCATTTGGGGACTTGAGATAGATGGATTAGCATTGTTAATCCTTGTTTTGAGATCGAAAACCCTTGGAATGATAATTTGAAACATGAAAATGGATTAGGGCACACTAATAGGAAATCTTGGTTGGAAATTGAGATTTTGATTGCTTTAGGAATGAGAATTAATCCTAAAGTGTTGTCTTGCATCAGTTATCGCGACTGAAGGGGCTTGAGGAAGCGGAAGCCGGAAAGGGCAACGCTAGTCCCAGGTTTGATAGTGCGAGGTAGGATTTCTATCCCTTTTCCTTGTGAGCCTGTTTTCAAAAAGGATTTTGGCATTGAAAATGTTTTAAAGAAAGGGATTGGTTTGTGAAGGAAAACGTTTTGAAAATCATGGCTTGTTTAGTCATGGAACCTCATGGCTTTTCCAGTCATGGGGCCCGCAGCTTGAGTAGTTCGTGGGGTCGTATTAACAATTTTAAAATGTTAATGAATGATTTCTTAATAAAGAGA